AGTTTACAGTTTAATTTCAGTACAACTATCAACTTATTGTGACACCAAAAGTGTACCCTTGATTTTTATAGTTATATACCACCTCTCCTTGGGGTGTACATGGAAAAAAACAATTAGTTCCTAATAATACTTGTCAGTACTAATATACACTTCATTACTGGTCCCAAGGGAAACAGTTGGTTACCATGAACAAACATCAAGATTCAAGGGAAAACAAAACTATTTCCTAAGGGGCCAGTAATTAAGTGTTTTGTTAATGTAGCTGAATTTTAGTGCTAAGTGATAAGGGAAGAAGTCAAAGTAATCTCTGATTAGTGGGAGAATGGACGACAATTGCTTAATTGCTGCATGATGGGTGACGTTTAGATTAAATCATAGACCCTTTGCATAAATGGCGCCTACATTGAAATAACAATACTTTTAAATCCTTAGCCTCACATTCATGTAAAAAAGTCCTTTGTCTTGAAACATGAGTACGAGGCTAAGGATGTGTAAACTATTGTCATTCAAATTTAGCTGCCGTTTATGCAAAGGATCTATTGCCATGTGACCATAAATCAACCCTTAAGAGTGGGTGTTAGATTTACAATGTACCTAAACTCCAGCTGCAATGTACTATATATATAACAATTACCAGTTAGCATCATTATGTATGGCAAGGTACAGTCGTGAGGTAAATCTGAGCATTCTGATTGGTTATTTCTTGGTTGCAATTTTGCTGTACAGATTACTTCCAAGAAAACAGTCGTAAGCCGTGTATATTTTTTTAGAAAGTTGGTGAGTGCTATATAATATACTACTTACTAACCTACCTTGCTCAAGCTGTACTGGAAAATATTGGCCCTCGGTTATTTTTGTGAGGACCTTGCTGTGCCCAGTCTGTACTGCCGTAACCTCAGGCCAATATTCCCCAGTAGGGCCCTCGTGTTCAGTTAGTAAGAGTTTGATTATTTTTGCAGTTGAGCCTGAGGTGTCAACACAGGAGTGTCCAAGTCCAGTAACTGAA